ATGCATGCATATACGTGTATATATGCATGCATGCATGCACACACATGCTTACATGCATGCATGCATGCATGCATACATGCATATACGTGCATGCATGCATGCATGCAGGTATATGCTTTAGAAAACCAGCCCCGAATGCATGCATGCATGCATGCATGCATTTGGGGCTGTCTTTCATTTTTTTTTTGTAAATGTTTTTTTTTCTTTTTTGTTTAAGAGGGCTGAAGGGCCACTAACGAAATATAAAATAGAAATATAAAGATAAAGTAACAGCGAGAAACAAACGCAACAATACACATCGCCTGATCATCAGGATTAAGAACAAGAAGAAGAAGCAGAAGAAAAAGAAAAAGAAAAAGAAAGAGAAGAAAGAGAAAAAAAAGAAAAAGAAAAAGACAAAGAAGAAAAAGAAAAAGAAAGATTAAGAAGGAAGAAGAAGAAAAAGGAAAAGAAAAAGAAGAAAAAGAAAAAGACTAAGAAGTAAGAAGAAAGTCGAATATAAAGAATAAAAAGAAAAAGAAAAAGAAGAAAAAGAAAAAGAAAGAAGAAAAAGAAAAAGAAGAAGATTAAGAAGAATAAAAAGAAAAAGAAGAAAAAGAAAAAGAAGAAGAAAGAGAAAAAGAAGAAAAAGAAAAAGAAGAAAGAGAAGAAAAAGAAAAAGAAAAAGAAAAATTAAGATGAAGAAGGAAGAAGAAAGTCGAAGGCATGGTCAGGGCAGGGCTGTCTCTTTACGCCGCTCTTTAGCTCTCCTCTATCAGCCCCAGTTATATTCTGTATAAAAAAAAAAATAAATAAATAAATAAATAAATAAATAAATAAATAAATAAATAAATATATAAATAAATAAATAACTAAATAAATAAATAAATAAATAAATAAATAAATAAATAAATAAATAAATAAATAAATAAATAAATAAATAAATCTAAATAAATAAATAAATAAATAAATAAATAAATAAATAAATAAATAAATAAATAAATAAATAAATAAATAATATAATAGTAAATAATAAAAACAATAGAAATAATATAAATAATATAAACACTAAATTAAGATAAAAACCAAAAAGAAAATAAATAAAATAAATAAAACAAAGAGAACGAGAATAAAAAAAAACAAAAATAAATAAATTAAATAAAACAAATAATACGAAAATAAAACCAAAAGAAAATAAGTAAAACAAAGAGTATAAAGAGCACTACAATAAACCCAAAAGAAAAAAAAATAAAAAAAAATAAAAAAAAACAAAAAATATAAAGAGTAATAGAATAAAACCAAGAACAAATATAAACAAAGCAAAAAGTATAAAAAGTATAAAGAGTATAAAGAGTATAAAAAGTATAAAGAGTATAAAGAGTATAAAGAGTATAAAGAGTATACAGAGTGTAGAGAGTATAAAGAGTATAAAGAGAATAAATATTATAAAGAGTATATAGAGCATAAAGAGAATAAAGAGTATAAAGAGTATAAAGAGTATAAAGAGTATAAAGAGAATAAAGAGTATTAGAATAAACCCA